GGGGGTGGAGCTCGCAGGGTGGAGGGGAGAGAAGTCATAGAACAAAATACAAAGACTCACACCCCCTCCTTCCCCAGACGTTTATAAACTAAATGTTCTTACCTGATGAATGGGACATGGTATGGACGCACAAAGATATAAAGACAGACGCCCACCAGCTGTGCCGAAGCCAGGAGAGTGTACCTGTGGGAGCGTGAGATGGCTTTCTGAAGCTGCTCACCCCACACCTTTCTGTTGGTGGCGCTGGACATGGAAGGGCGGGAGAAGGGCAAGAGGTTAGCAGGAAGACCACCTCCCACTGACCAACCCCTTTTTTTTTTTTTTTTTTTTAATTTTGGTCCTGGTACTGAGGCTTGAACTCAGGGCCAGGTACTATATCCTTTAGCCTTTTTTTCCCTCAAGATTGGTGCTCTACCACTTGAGCCAAAGCCCCACTTCTTTTTTTTTACTGGTTACTTGGAGATAGTTTCATGGACTTCCCTGCCGGGGCTGGCTTTGATCTACAATCCTCAGATCTCAGCCTCCTGAGTAGCTAGGGTTACAGGCGTGAGCCACTGGCACCTGGCTATTGCTATTTTTTTTTTTTTATAAAAGTGATTCTGTATCCAATGTGACTATTGTGCCTTGATCCCTCTCGTGAACTAGCTAATGTTTCCCATTGTGCCTCACACCTCTCAGCAGTCTCTCCTCACCCCTGACACCTAGCTAGGATCTGCTCATAAGAGCTCCAAAGAGGCAATTTTATTTATGTGTAAAGAAGTTCCTTGAAATAAAACTGGAGAAGCTTGGAGGGAATGTCTGGTTGGTTTTATGCCAGTTAACCTGACGGTCTGGCTCTCTCCTTCCTGCCTGGTATCAAGAGACACACTCATGCTTTCTCATCTCTCCCCAGGAAATGTGAATCAGCCCTCTCTTCCTGTCCCCCAGCCTTGCCTGCCCTGGGATCCCAGTTCATACATGCCAGCTCCCTGCACCCCATGGCCCAGGCTCCCCACAGACACAGTGATAACCAGACCTTCCATCCATTTCCTTCACTGGCGGGCAGAGGGGAATGGGGCAGCACATGGTGAGTGTGGAGAAGGGGAATAGCCAGAAGTGCACACGGCACCAGGGCCGCAGGCTGCTAGACCAGAGCAGCTTTGAGCAGACTTTGGGGCCCTGTTCCCCAGGCAGGCTCTTGGCCCTTACCTGGCATTGACGATATTCCCAGCACTCAGCTCGACCATCTCTTCAAACCCCACAGCAAATACATCGGCTGGGGTATTGTCATCTGGCAGGTAAAGCAAGAGATGCAGGAAATTAGAACCTCCATGTCCTGCACTACTGGTTCACAGGGTCTGTGTTGCCCTCTTCTAAGTGCACCACTTTGGGGGTGGAGCTTAGGTCTAAACATGAAATTCACTTGTTTATAAACCTACCCAAAGGAGGTATTATATAGCATTTTCCATGCACCTGAATGTTGACTGAGACCCGTCATACGAGGTCAGGAGTGGAACAATGTGGGTGCACTGTGCATTTCAGAGTACCAGATTAGGGAAGCACAATGTGTAGCTGGCCTGGACAGGACCAACATTAATTGCAAGTCTGGCTCCGCAGCTCCAGACAGCAGCTTGGCATTTAGGTTGTCATTCCTGATGACAATCGGATTCCAATGACCCAAAGCTAAACTGCAAAAATCTCTGCCTGTGAAGGAAAGAAAAGCTGAGTGCTAGTGGCTACTCAGCAGTCTGAGATCTGAGGATCACAGTTCAAAACCAACCCAGGCAGATAAATCCCAGAGACTCTTATTTCTAATTAACTAGAAAAAGGGTAGAAGTATAGTTATAGATCAAATATTAGAGGCCAGACTTGAGCAAAAGAGTGCAAAGCCTTGAGTTCAAGCCCTAATACTAACCCCCCACCCCCCACAAAAAAAGAGAGTGTCATTCTGATAATCCTTCCAAATATTTGGAAAACGAGTCAGAGTTAATTTGCTAGTTAGCATTCCAGAAGGTTAGCCCACGGTGTTTTAAACATTTTGAGGCATATAAATGCCAACGTTACAGGAAGAGGTGCTACTGAGGTGGTCAGCCTGCTACTGCAGGTTTGACAAAACGTCAGATGTCTTGTCTTCACCTGCGTGACGTGACTGCCCTCACCCTGAGAGTCCACAGCTCCCAAGAGCTGGGGAGCGTCCAACAGCCAGTCTGCGAGCTCCGCCGTCCCCAGGAGGTTGCTCCGGAACTGCTTCCCTCCATTCACGTTCCAGGTCCCCACGGCGATTTGAACCCGCTTAAAATTTGTGAATTCTGACTGGCGCTCGGTCATGGCTTTCAGAATCCTGGGAGTCACTGTCAGGAGGCATAAAGAGGCAAGTCCTTCTCCAGCCCAGAGCCGGGCACCTCCCAAAGCACAGGAGGGTGGCCTGCCAGAGACCACTCACAGCCCTGCAGATGTGGACCAGAACATAGAAAGATGACACTAACCACAACACCTCCCATCAACGTACAAAAACACAGGACCGGAAATACACCCCGCATGCCCTGGTACCATTACTCATAGAAGTCATGTGAGGATCAGATCACAAGAAATCTCACAGACACAGAGGGAGAAAGTCCCTGTGCATTCTTGCCATGATCCCACAGAACATAGCAGAGGAATGAAAGCAAGCAAGAGGACACTACGGTGGACAATATAAATCATGTGCTATGTGTATGTGCATGTATGTATAAATGTAATGTTATAAAGTTGTAATATATTACATGTAACTCTAAGCGCCTCATCAACCCAAAGCCCCAGCTTTGCATTTTCTACTTCCATCCTGTATACCTGAAAGGGTCTGTTTTGCTTATTTGCCTTCAGACTTAAAGCATTCACAAAATGAATCTAAGTGGGCACTGATGGCTCACACCTGTAGTCCTAGCTACTCAGGAGGCTGAGATCTGAGGCTCAGTTCAAAGCCAGCCTGGGCAGGAAAGTCTGTGAGACTCTTGTCTCCAAAAAACCACTCAGAAAACCAGGAGTGGCACTGTGGCTCAAGTGGTAGAGAGCTCACCTTGAGCTGAAGAGCTAAGGGACAGTGCCCAAGACGAGAGTTCAAGCCCATGACCGACAAAAAAAAAGAAAGAAAGAACACCACCATCACTAGCCACCTTATTAACCAAAATATATCCTTTTGTTGTTGTTTTTGGTTGATTGTGGGGCTTGAACTCTGGGCCTGGGTGTTGTCCCTCAGCTCTTCAGCTTAAGCCGAGTGCTCTACCACTTGAGCCACAACGCCACTTCCAGTTTTCTGGTGGTTTATTGAAGATAAGAGTCTCACTGAATTTCCTGCCTAGGCTGGCTTTGAACAGTGATCTTCAGATCTCACCCTCCTGAGTAGCTAGGATTACAGGTGTGAGCTACCGGTACCCGGCTTCCAATGTTTTAATCTAGAGACTTGACCCAAATCTCCTCTGCTTTGCCACTAAATAAGCCTCACTATGGAATCTGGAGCTTGCTCAGCTTTTCTGAGCTAGAACTATTCCCAGAGCAGAAGTTAATTTCACCTTGGCTATCAGAGGCCAGAAAGCAACCTCAATATATGGAAGAATGAGAGAGAAAAGGCCTATGGAGCCATTGTAAACATGGGCTAATTTCTCTCTCAAACATACCCCAAAAAGTCTAAAATTGTCTCATTCTTATAAAAATGCCAGTCTCCCCTTCTTTTCCTTTACTTATGAAGGCCACATGCTCTAGGGAATAAGCTGTCATTAAAATTTTCCCCAAAAAACCTCTAGCACTGATGGGCTCTTAATAGCCTTCCTGACACTGGACATGCCTTGTCCCCACGCACTTGCCCCAGGAACTGTTCTCAGGGGCCAACACAGGACTGCAGACTCCTCCCTCCCTCCAGAAGCTCCCTGGGTCACAAGACACCTATCAGGGAGACCGGGAGCCCAGGTCTCCAAGGACATTTCTGAAATGAGTTAGCTTCAAAGACACAGACACAGTGCAGACTCCTTCATAGTCCTGCCCCTTCCTTCCTTCCTCTCCACAGGGAAAGGAGGGCACTCCAAAAAATAGGGGAGTCCAGAAGGGCCAGCTCCCGGGAAACAGCCACCTGCAGTTGTACACCCTATCCATTCAACCACGGATTGGAATTACTTGGCAAAAAAATTACAGCTGTACTAAACATGTACAGAGACTTTATCTTATAGTTTCCTCTAAACAATATAGTAGAAAAATGATTTCCATAGCACTAGATGGGGCAAGTATCTAGAGATAACAAAGTACATAAGAGTACGGGTAGATGTTATTTGCAAAGATGGTGCCATTTTCATTATGGACTCGAGGATCTTTGGATTTTGGTCTCCGCAGGGATCCTAACAACAATGCCTTCCCAATAGTGAGGAAGAACTGCACAGTATCAATTAAAAGCTGCGTCAGCCCACTACTCAGACCAAAGACAGATCAAAATCTCTTACTTATCTTCCACCCGCCATCTTGGATTTCCTGGTAGGGTCCTGGGGAAAGTTAACCTCAGCCTCTACCACCACCTGCGCCCCCAAAGTAGACCACAGACACCCTCATGCAAGCAGGGTAGAACTCATTACCCAGAAGGGCAGTGTTGTCCAGAAGCATCCTGCCTTTGTCTGTTGAGTCCTCATTGTGGACATCGCCAACCAGCAGCAGCTTGATGGCTTCCTGCTTCACCCCATCGAAGAAGTTGGACTGGATGGTACGAGACATGGACCGGGCCCCATCTTTCAGCTTCCCCACCTGCAGGAGACCAAGTCCAGGTGTGAGAGGGACCCGTGAGGCTACCCTCCCTGCTCCCTCACCCTGCTCCTACCTTGGCCTTCCCTTCCAGGGCCCTGCTGCCTGTGAACACCTTGCTCAGGCTATGCCCATTCAGAGACCACATGGCTTTGAAGGACTCCACAAAGCGGTCAACAATGGGTTTTGAGTTCAGCCCCAGGCTCTCGAGCTGGAGGTGAAGGACCTGAGGGAGACAGAGGAGACAGCTGCATTGGGCTGCCTACTGGGAATGCTCCCAGGGGCCTCCTAGTGGGTGCTATATCCAGCACAGTGCAGACCCTGTGCTACCCTGAGATATGAGCAGGACAGAGTGGCTCCAACTTCCCAACCTTCTTTCTGATGCCTGACCACCCACTATCACTAATAGTAGATAGCAAGCACTGAGGGGGGCAGCAGGAAGGGACCCCAGTTCCCTCCCTCCAAGATGGAGTGGAGAAGTCAGCCAGGCAGCTGGGCTACACCAACAGACTCAGGCATGCTGCCTCTGGCTTCAGAGCCAGCCTCCCTCTGGCCTGGCCCAGCAGTATTCATGACAATCACTACACAGATATGCTCTTTCTCAAGGGTGCCTGGTGCCTTTGGGAAGCTAAGGCTGGGATGCATTCCATGAGTGTGTGAATAAGCAAGCCTATGACAGGGAGACACACACGGAGGCGCAGGCAAGCCACCTCTCAGAGAACCTGTCCAGAAGCCCCAGCGCATCCCTGTCACCCGCCCCATCACCGGAAAGCCAACCAGTGAAGCTGAAGGCATGTTAGGCAGGCCCAGCCTGGCCCACTGAGGGTGTGAGACACAATGCAGATGCTCAGGAGACGGACCTCGAGTGCGATGAAACTCTGAACAGCGTTGGTTCGGTTCAGGCAGTCAAGACAGTTCATCCGCAGAGTGCCTTTCTGAAAACTTAAGGACCACAAGAAAAAAATGGAATCAATTCAGGGACACACATGGCTCTAGTCTGTCAACTTCTATGGAATCTTGTTCAGGAGAGAACCCCTGGGCTCCTCCCTGCAGAAATGCCCTACAGACCCCAGAATGCACTCTCTGTAGACCTAGGCCTGGCTCGCGGGCAAGGAAGGGCAGCTCTGTTACCCACGGTGCCTTTCTATAAAATTGTGAGAACATTCAATTACCAAATGCTACCTCCTTGCTCCTGGGAAAAAGAGTCGTTAGGTACCTGTGAGCCTCTGGCCACAACACTGCCCTCAACTTGCTCATGGTTTCTGTGTAAACACACATTACTAAGTATACGCAGCTAGCCCCTTAGGGTGGTTCTTGATGGTTAATTGGAGTACTAAACGCACCTTTGACTTAGGATGTTTTCAACCTACAGTGAGCTTACTGGGACATGACTTACATGAATGCACTGAAAGCTGAAGGGCTCCTGCAGACTGCTGCTTCATCCACACTGAACTCCCAGCCACACACTACAACTCAGGCCTGAAGGAAGCTTATCTAAGTGTGCCCTATGGAAGGTACATCACTGCCTTCTAAGGCTTAGAGATGCCAAGCTGCACCTTCATGCTGGGCTTGGAGCCCTTTTAAACAGTGAAGTTACCAAGAAAAGCACAGAAAGAAGTGAACCATGCAATTAGACAGCAAACGAGAACACACGGGCCCTTGAGAGAAGGCACATGTTCCACTGCTCTGCAAGTCTGTGAGTGAACATGAGAGGGCTATGACGAGATTCTGAGGTTACCAATGAGCTGAACTAAATAGATGAATCCGCTAGTGTGGAGTCTACACGTGATGAGGATTGACTGACTGCACGCTGAGTAAACCCCACGTTTTCCTCTGGGCCCTGGACAAGTCACCACAGGGCAGCCTCCCTGGCACCGTGGTTTGCCCCAGCTCTCCTCACGTGATCATGACAAGTCCTGTCGCACTGTGGTCATCTCAGTCCTAGGTTTTAACCCTGTCTCTTCTATTAGGGTGCTTCTTTATCCAACGAACTAGGCTTTGCCATCTACTCACAGAATTCACAAGCTCATTTCAGCAGGAAAGGAGAGGAGCAGACTAGAACCACAGAGGCCCAGAATCACCCTGCTTATGATCCAGAGGACTGCCAGGGCAGACAAGCCCTGAGGAGCACTGCCCTGCGGGTTACAGCCCCTGAGCCCTCATCTAGCAGGAAGACCAAGCTCAGACCAGACTCACCGTGGACTTACATTCTCGCCCTTGGCAAACACGTCAAAGTCATCCCAGTGTAGCTTTAACTGAGGCTTCAACAGGTTCTCCAATTTCTCTAGCTTCCCACCTTTGGCAAGCTGATGGAAGTCAAAATTGATCATAGGCGTGTCGCTGGCGTGGCAAGAAGCCCAGAGCAACTTCTGCAAAGGGAAAGAGGAAGGTGTAAGGGCACAGGGGCAGCGGCAGGATGGTGACGGCACACTTCCTTTGGCAGCTCGCTCTGCAGCCAACCACAGTTGCCCATTAGTGTGCTCAGATCAGCTAGGAGGCTCACAGACGACCAGGCCATGGACCAGCCTGACCTTGAAACAGAAGCACAGGACAAAGGCCCTAGGAAGACAGAAGCTAAGAAAATCTTGCCTGCACAAAGGCAGAAGGCCCCCCTTGGGCAAAAAGAGCCCGGAGCAGGGGTGGCACCCTGGGGACATCCCACCCTGCAGGGCTCTGGGAGGCACAGGCAAGGGAAGGGTTGCCCTGTTCTTCAGATGGCCCAAGTGCCCCAGCCCTCAAAGACAGCAGCATGTGGCAGGCTACAGAGCTCACAATCCAGCTCCCGTTGCCTTGGTAACCAGCCCCATCCTGACAGACACCAGCACCAGGAAAGGGGGCCTCTGTGGTGGCCTGGTGCTGGCTGAGGCAGCCATTGGGGTTTACAGAACGGTGACACCTCAGAATGTGGGTGATGAGAGACAGGGCAGCGACCCTGGAGTCAGAGGGAAGGTTGGGAAAGGGAAGAAGCAGAGTCTGGGGCTGCTGGTAGCCCAGGATGTTCTTCTCAGACACAGGCCCCTTCCACATGAAGCTTCCTAGCTCAGAAACTCTTCTGCCTGCTCCCCAGGGTCAAGGACAGAGTGGACATCCCAGGCTGCCCACCTCTAGGCCTCCCTACAGCTACATGGCGGACGGGGTAAGACCAAGCCACGCATCTGCAGAGCCAGAGGTGCTGAGGACCAACAGACCAGGGCTCTGATTACCCTGGGTAGTCAGAATATAAACGGACACACACTGCCATCTTCAAGCAAGATTTTATGGATGGAGTCGCCTGCGAACTCAGCCGTGTGACTGGTGGTTTAGAGAGTTACCCTGGAGCCAGCCCCTGTCCTGCTGTGATGTGATGACCACCAGGATTCAGGCAGGCTGCCAATACCGGCCTCAGCCTGGTTGAGTGACTTCCAAGTCAGAGCTACGCCCCAGGGGTCCTTCCAGAATGCGCCTCTTTTGCGACCTGCCCCAGGACCTGTGCTCCCCACTGGACTGACTCCTGCCATCTGGGTAGAAAAGAAGCCTTGACTCCCAAGCCAGAGGCAGGGCCGCCAGCCCTGGGGAAGGCCAAGCACGGCCCTTCTCCAGAACTCAAGGCAGAAAAGGGAAGGGTACATTTTTTTGGTTGTTGGGAATTTTCCTTTCCCCTTACTTCTTCCTTAAAATAAGCAGCCAGCATCACTGCCAAGATGAGTAGGAGGAGAGATTTCTTGAGCTTGTTGCTCATGGCAACAAACCAAACAGGAAAGGCAGGTTTGGCCAAATAAAAGTAGCAACCAGAAAGTCCCTGTTTCAAGCATGTGACTCTGCTACAGAGTAAAACAAGTGCTCTGGCTGAACTAGGCTTCCTCCAGTGAGGGGTCAGAGGTCAGGGGTCATGTGGAAGTGGAGGCATAGACTGGCCTGACCTTAGGCTGAGGTAGCTTTAGGTTCTCTCTAGAAGGAGCTTCCTCCAGCTTCTACTAATTAGAGGTCCACAGGAACCTCGGCAAGCAACAAGGAGGCCAATGACACTCATTCCAGAATCTTCCATGACAGACTGATTGCTCACAGGTTGGGCTCAACTGCAACGCTTCCCTATCAGGGACCTGGGCTCTTGGCTCTGGGCAGCTAAGAGGTGGAAGAGCCTACTAGGAGCTGGCACACAGTACACAGAGTCTTGAAGGCTGCCCAGGGAGCAGGAGGTTCACCTGTGTCCTTCTTTCAACCAAGCACGGCTCTGAAGAGCAATCACACAAACACCCTATGGTTCTTCTGTGGGAAGGCCTGGGGCAGTGCCTGGCTGGCCCTTTCTCTCTTCTGCACTAAAGCAACTCAAGAAAGCAGGAAGGCTTCCCCGCCCACAGGAGCCTGGGGAAGCACAGCTTTGACTTTGAGCAAAGTTTCCCATCCTGCAGCTCATCAAAATTCAACTTGTCCCCTGGAGTTGCCGCGATCACTGGGTGAAGGAGGCTGGAGGGCAGACAGACCTAAGCCTGCCCAGGGTGGTCTTCTGCTGTCTTCCCTCCACAGGAGTGGCCTCTGTGCCTCAGGGCTCCACCTGCACAGGGTCCCCTCCGTCCCCCATCCATCAACACCCAGCTGTGGAGAAGGGAGAAGAGGTGGGGGGACGCGTTACCTTGAACGCTCTGTTGAGAACCTCCTCCCCGTCTCGGCTTCCCAGCAAGTTCACCACCACCTGCTTCCCGTACTGCTCCTTCAGAAGAACCATGTGCCTGCAACAGCAGCACGACAATGGTGACCCCACAGCGACACCACGGGGCCCAGGGGCATGTGCAGAAGGGCGGACCTTTCTCAGTGCCAGAAGTCCCGTACCCACCATGTTCTTGGCCCAGAGTGTGTGCAGAGAAGACACGCCCTCCTCCCAGCCACCACCTCTGCACACGGCAATCCCAGGACAGGGCCAGGTCCTGTCCAGGCCATTTGCATGAATGGCTCCAGCAATAATGCACAGCATAAAGGCTGTGCTGGTTTTTCTTTTTTTTTTTTCCAGTCATGGGGCTTGAACTGTCGTCCTAGATGCTGTCCCTCAGCTCTTCAGCTCAAGGCTAGCACTCTACCATTTGGGCCATAGTGCACTTCCCATTTTTTGAGTGGTTTATTGGAGAGAAGAGTCTCATGGACTTTCCTGCCCGGGCTGGCTTTAAACCGTGATCCTCAGATCTCAGCCTCTTGAGTAGCCAGGATTACAGGTGAGAGCCTCCCCCCATCATTTAGCTATCCTTCCACACGCTACATTTCATTACATAGAACCCAAACGAGACAGCACAGCAAAGCCTGTGGGCTCTGGGGAAACAGTTCTGTATCAGAGACTACGTGCAAATAAGCAGAGCCTTGTCCCCAGCTTGCTAAAGGTAACCTTATGGATTCTGTGAGAAATGTTTGACAGTGGTGCTTTAAAGAATAGCAAAAGGAGGCCAGGTGCGGTGGCTCACACCTGTAATCCTAGCTACTCAGGAGGCTGAGATCTGAGGATCGAGGTTCAAAGCGAGCACGGGCAGGAAAGTCCATGAGACTATTATCTACAATTAGCCACCAGAAAACCTGAAGTGCACTGTGGCCCAAGTGGTAGCGTGCTAGCCTTGAACTGAAGAGCTGAGAGACAATGCCTAGGCCCAGAGTTCAAGCCCCACAATGGACAAGACAAAAAAAAAGGAATCAAGAATACCACCAATACCACCGCCGGGCATCGGTGGCTCACACCTGTAATTCTAGCTACTCAGGAGACTGAGATCTGAGGACTACAGTTCAAAGCCAGCCTGGGCAGGAAAGACCGTGAGACTCTTATCTCCAATAAACCACCAAAAAACCAAAAGTGCCACTGTGGCTCAAGCAACAGAGTGCTCGCCTTGAGCTAAAGAGCTGAGGGACAGCGCCCAGGACCAGAGTTCAAGCCCAACACAGACCAAAAAAATAGGAGCAAAAGGATACAATGCAAAAAGCAGATATGGAATTATAACTTAGTGGAACGGCTATCCATATTTGTGCTTAATGTGGAAAGATGGAAGGAAATGTACTAGGAACAGTAGATGATTTCTCAATATTTTCTTCTTTAAACATTTTTCTCTTTTTGAAATTTCCACAATGACATGTTTCTATGTTTCTAGTTTATTGTTGTATTTTAATCACGTCAATAACTAGTGAATTTGTAGAGTATTTGGAAAGATCAATTCAAAGGGTAAGGAATACTACGTTGGCTTTAACATTAAGGACATCTGGTGAATTAGGTAAACTGAGCATCAGTTCTGATGGTACACATAAAGAAGACAAGGAAGTTCATCACCCACCTGAGGTGTCTACAAGGAGACCATCCCCACGTAAGTAGGAAACCCAAAAGGTTAAACACTTGGTGTAAAAACAAGAAATGGCCCTTAGGAAGCTATAAAGATAAGCAGCTATTTCACACTTAGTGCTAACAGAAGCTAGAGAATTCCCTCTGATAATGCGTGAGAATAAATGAGCCCTCACATGAGCTTGCAATCCGGTCCTACTTCATCTTGAGTCGTTTAAAGTTACTCAGAAACTTCCAAGAAAGAATGCTCCAAGACAGATGAGCTCACAACAAAGATGAGCTCACAAACCACACCAGTGAACCACCCATTTAGATTAAAAGAAAAAATCATTTAAGAAGCTATTAAGAGCATAGATTTTTTTTTTTTTTACAACCAGTTCAGGTTAGCAATGGCTCATCCTTGAGCAAAAAATCCAAGGGAGAACACAAGGCCCTGAGTTCAAGCCTCAGTAGAAAGGGGAAACAAAAACCTGTTAGCAATGAAATCTCTTAAGAGTGTGGGGTTTAGGAGTTAGTGTTCTTACACTTCACATCTCTCTATAATCTTTAAAACCTAGGAATGTTTTATGTTAAAACAAAAACAAGGCTGGTTGCTGGTGGTTCACACCTATATCTAGCTACTTAGATGGCTGAGATCCAAGAACTAAGGCCCGAAGCCAGCCCCAACCAGAAAAGTCCCCAAGATCTATCTCCAATTAACCAGGAAAAAGCTGGAAAATAGGAGGTGTGGCTCAAGTGGCAGAGTACCAGCCAAATGATGAAAAAGCCAAGGAGTAGGTGCAAGGTCTTGAGTCCAAACAAAAATAAACACATAAATAAGCATCTACTAGTATCCTGTAATTTAAATAACCCTTAATTAATCAGAATAGATAGATGAAATCTTACCGTAACAAGAAACAGATAAGGGGCTGGGAAGGTGGCTCAGTGGTAGAGTGCTTGCCTTGAATGCATGAGGCCCTGGGTTCGATTCCTCAGCACCACATAAGCAGAAACAGCCGGAAGTGGCGCTGTGGCTCAAGTGTTAGAGCGCTAGCCTTGAGCTGAAGAGCTGAGGGACAGCACCCAGGCCTAGAGTTCAGGCCCCATGAGCCGGGGGGGAACAGATAAAGAGCTGCTCTCTGAACACAGAAATCTTCAGGGAAACCTGACAAATGAAAAGCCCTTTTATAACTCTTTTCTTGCATAAAGGACCAAAATACACAAATCCAAAGATTTGAATTCAGGGTTGATTCCTGTTTCCCTAGTGCCAATGTCTGAATGGAGTGCGCATGTGCAGGCCTCAAGTGGTATCTGACCATCCCTACCTGTCGAAAGCAGGGGCGTTGGCCTCCAGGCCTCTCTGGAGTCTCAGATGATGGGAGCCAACCTATAGTGAGAGAGAATAAAGGTGATACTTCTGCTGTGTGAGCTGACAGACCCGTGATTTTCCCATGCTCCCTCTCTCCACCAGCCAGGCATGGCTGGCAGCTACTCAGCAACCTGTACAACACTTTCCCTACTCAAGCAGGTCAGCCCTCCTGGATGTGCTAACAGTGCCCCTGACCCAGAGGCCCAGCCACCAGAAATTCTGGGGTGAGAACACAGAAATCACATCCCCAGACTATCCAGCCAAACCACTTTCCCACCTCCTAGTTCCTCACTAGTCCTAAAATCTGGATTTTTGTCTGAATATCTAGAGTTACCTATTTACTCCTCAACTTAAGTTCAAATCTTTCACATAGGTACCATTTCTACAATCAGCTTGAAGGGGTTCTCATTGACCAAATCTGGGGCAACTTGAGCAGCCAATGATGTAAGGACAGTGGATTATAACCTAAGTAAAACAGGACTCTGACTCGCACTGATGGTAGCAGTATTAGCTAGGTGAGTGGAAGGTTAGGTGGTGCGGAAGGATGGGGGTACGATGGGTGGGTAAATGGACCGGTGGAGGTTTATGAGGTGTGTGAGTGGGTAAATGAGGAAGAAGGGCTCTTCTGTACAGTAGGGAAAGATGTCATTTTACAGCCATGATAGTAAAGAACAGCAAGTCAAGTTTGATGAGGAACGTGATACTTATATGATCTCATAATATCTGTCACAGTCTGCTAGTGAGTTGGAAGGGAAAACAACTGTAAGTAGCAACACGCAAAAGCACCTTGACAGGGGACCAAAATCAATGTCACTGAAGGGCACATGGACACCGTGTGCCTGGAAGAATGCTGTCACACAGCAAGGGAGCCTTCAGAAACAGCAGGAAGACCCAGAGGAGGCTGCTGATGTAACAGAAGGCCTCCATTCTCAAAGACTACCAGTGACATGAGAGAGAAAGGCCTGGAGGGCAACCCAGCTGGAGAAAACTAGAGCTGGACAAATAAATGTGGAGTGTAGGCCTGGACTGAAGGGGCAGAGCCGCTACAGAGAGCCTACGGTGACACCTGACTGAGTTGGAAAATGCCTGTCTTCCTGACTAAAATACTACGCCAATGTTGAATTCTTCAAATGTGTACCTTTGCTGTGGTGCTGTCAGAGTAGAACTGTTCTAGGAAAAAGCATCCGGAAACTAATGGTGGAGAACAATATATACAACTTCCTCTCAAGTGGCTGAGAAAACAAATGACAGCATGCATGTGGGTGACACAAGGTGACAATTCAGCAGATCTGGATGAAGGAGTTCTGGCTAGCTAACACATTTTCTGCGGGCCTGAAAATGTACCATGTGTTCAGCCTGGTTTTCAGAGCTGTAAGAGCAGTGTCATCATCAGACTCATCCACATGATGAGTACAGCCATCACCGAGTGTGATCAACACCACTGGCCACGTGTCTCACTTTAGATTTGTATCTAACACACTGGATCCCCAGTAAGAGATTCAGAAATTATGGGAAAAGGTTCAGAAATTAGAGATTATACAGATGACTCAACTGAAGCCTAAATTTCACTGGTCCTGGAAAACTATGGTCACAAAGGAAACATTGTATAAAATGAGGCAGCCTTGCTGATCTATGGGGGTTCATAATAGACTGAGCGGGCGCCTTCATGTCGCTGCTTGTTTTCCCTTCTCTCCTCTCCCCAGTGGCCGCCAATGCCTCACTCAGAAAATGTCAGCTCCTGAATTCAAAAACCAGAAGTGGCTCTGTGGCTCAAGTAGTCGAGCACTCGCCTTGAGCTGAAGGGCTCAGGGATAGTGCCCAGGCCTAGAGTTCAAGCCCCATGACCAATAAAATAAAAATAAAATGTCTTGAATTCAAAAAACACCCATGGGCCTGTGGCATGGAGAAAACTGTTCATCTGTCAGCACCAGCCTTTCTTGGGGCTCACAGAGATGTGCTCCCCTGAGTTCCCCTCTGAGATCCCCTAAGGCTAGGGCCCAAGGCCAGGGAAACTTGTTCTGTGTCACCTGTCAGTCAGCACAAGAAACCTCCCAGAGCAGGGCCAAGCATCAGTCCCTGTGGGAGCACACCAAGAAGAGAACCAAAGTCAGCCGTCTAGGCTCAGAGTCCAGCCTTCAGTCCTGAGGGTGCCCAGTCCCAGGCCAAGCTCAGACCTGCTGAAGGAAGAGCTGGGCTGGGGCTGGACCCAGCAGTCATCTGCCCCGCCCCACCAGTGACACCAGGGACTCCCACGGCCCCACCCAGTGCAGCTCTGGCGGGCAGGCTGCTCCTGACTCCCGTCCCATCTTCTTCCTCCCCTTCGCTCAGTTGCAGGGGCCCAGGAAGGGGTGGGAGAGGGTGGCTCTGAGCCGAGTCCCCACCGCAGACCCAGGCCTCTGAGGCCCCTCAAACATCATGACCCCATCTCCTAAAGGGGAAAGGGAAGGGAGCTGGAGCCTCTGCCTTCTCAGAAAGTCCTCCTCCATTGCCCTGTGCATCTGTGTAGTCTGGATCCCTCCGACCCTGCCTCCTGCCAGTCCCTCCTCCCCTGAGCAACCGCATCACTGTGGAGCTCTGCCCTTCGCTGGGGTCACTGCTGAGGTCCTATGTCTCAGAAGCCTCAAGGACTGGCAGCCAGGGCTGGCTGGGGGCCCCTTGGGCTGACAAAGCTGCTTTTTTTGGCTTCTCCTTGTTCTCCTTCACCCCAGCCTCCCGTCTCTGTCTAAGGAGCCTCTGGTCCCTAAAGTCATTAACTCAACCCTGCTACACACTGAGACTCAGGAATACACAGCGTAGATCTGAGCAGAAACTACACAATCCCATGCAGCACTGGGCTGTCCCAGAACCCCCTGCTCCCACAGACAGGAAGGAGAAAGAAAAGAAGGGAAAGGGTGGAGAGGGGAGGGGAGGGGAGGGGAGGGGAGGGGAATGTTAGGTTGATTGCCATCCTTCTGAGGACAATGTCCAGTTGTGCCTCCACCCCAAAGAGCAGTCTGAGGCTGGCGAGAGGAGCTCTAACCAGCTCACCAGAGCCAGCAGAACAGTTGGCCCCAGCTCCAGCCCAGCAAGGTTACACTAGTAGGCCAGAAGTGTCTACAGAAATGGACAAATGGTGCCGATCAAGTTTCCTACACCCTCTAGACTCCAAGAACACTTTGTTTATAGGCATGCGGCAGAGGGCTTCCCAGATGGCCCAGCACAGGGTCTTCAGAAACTAGTCCCAGATGCTGTGATTTCATCACTACAACGCTGCCTTGGGTATCAGTCAGGATGGTTACAGCTCCCAGGGGATTCTCACAGGTGGCACTGTTGGCAAGACTGGGTTAGTGCCCTCTGGGTGGATCCAGCTCAGTGTCACACACACACTCAGCTGCCATGCCCCGGCGCTGCCCACCTCGCCCCCCACCCAGACCGAAGGAGCCCCCAGCTCTGAACCAGTGCTGTTCCCTGGACATGCAGGAACCAGGGGTTACAAGCACAGCTGTGTCCCCTCTTGTAGGGGCTGTGTCCCTCTCCCACAAGCCAATGCGGACAAGAATCCTGACGGATGTGTCAACTTGGGCTAGTTGCCCCTCGCCAAGCCGCCAGAAACCTCACCAACACTGTTACCTCCCTGTCCCCTCTCTTAAAGGCAGAGCCTACACCTGATCCCTCGAGTCCCTTGCACCCAAGAGACGCCCCACAAACGCCAGCCAGGTGAATACCAAGCTCAGCCTGGGGTTGCTGGCTCCCCATCAGGCTGAGCAACATGCCAAGGAAACTGGTGTTTGTGCCACGGGACTGTATCTCGGAGCCCTCATGAGGATGGGGAACCTCATCAGCCCAGGCTTCACCGCTTAGTTCCACTATTGTTAATAACATAATAGCCACTATTTTGAGTGGCTATTTTGGGTTCTAGATTCTGTGTGAAGTTCTAGTATGTCTTAAGAGCCTTAATTCTCTCAATAACCCTGTGCAACAGGTATTGTAAACCTCATTTTACCACTATTGACTAAGGCGTAGTCAAGGTCAGAGCTTTTCAAAAGTATATATTGTTACCAAGTGGGTTGCCAGAACTTGAATTTGAACTGTGGTCAGTATAACTGCAAAGCTTAGGCTCTGAATCCCTCTGGAAAACCACTCACCACCTTGGTTCTTTCTGTGGGGACTATGAAGAGCCAGGGACAAGTCTGAAGCTGCTTCATGGGACTCACCAACACCCCCTGCACAGCCCACTTTGTCCCTGGCTCTGTTCAGTTCCACTCAGAGGACTTTTCCATTTCAGTGACCTAGTCTGGAAACTGATATACCACACACAATCTCATACCTTTGTGCACACACACACACACACACACACACACACTATCACTTGCAGCCCACCTATCTAAGAACTTAAGAAATAGGTCCTGACAGGGAAGAGGTGAATGTAGGCAAGAGTCTCTAATCCATGGTGTATCATCTTCTGGCTGTTTCCATCAGGTAAAACTACAAAACGCAAATCAGACTCACGTGCAGGTCAGGTATGTGTCTGTGAAGTGTGCAGGCCACAGGAAGGAAAGCTGTACAGTGGCAAAGGGAGCAGTCTTCCACAGAGTGACAGATAGCACCCACACCCTGTAACAAGCTGTCCCAGAGGAGATGTGAGTTTGCAGGGCAACACTTCATTGTGGCTATTACACAACCTGTTTACATGGCAAAGATGAAAAGGGCTAAAGGCACACAGATCTCGGCGTGTGCTGAAAGCGTCAGGCCCAGGCCCACTGGCAGACAGGTGATCACCATGGTCCTTTGCCCATCCCGGGCAGGGCTCATGTTCTCTGGGCAGCCCCTAAGAAGGCACAACAGTACAACTTCGCACATAAGCCATTCGCCCACAAAATTCCAACTGTCACGCTACCTAAGAGACAAAGAATGGGGAGGGGCTCAAAATAGAGAAAAATACTTGGGATTCCTGAGCTTGGTACTGATAGTTCATCCTGGTGACTGTAGACCTCTATGTAAGGCTGCTCCCTCATCTCCTCTGAAGATGACTCAGAATCTCTTGGATGGCCCTTAAGAGGTTCACATAGGTACGGGGCCCCAAAGTGAGCAGATCCCTCAGAAGATTGAGAACATGAAGGCTTTGGAACTATGTCTGAAGACACAACAGGGGCTTTGGAGAGTCACGAGCATGTGTCAGCTGCCATGTCCCACCCTCGGCTATGCCAAATGGAGCTCCACCCTCCATGGCAGCGTCAGGCTGCGTCTGGACCGGCATGAAGGGCAGGCTGGAGAGCTTCCCATAATTACATAGGAAATGACAAGCATTCTCGGTTTTGTTTTCCACGAGGGAAATCAGAATATCACGAGTCCTAGAAGATGGTCAAAAGATTCAGAGGAAACAGAGGAAGAAAAAGGACCATGCAATTCCAACTCCAGGGTGAAGTACACCCCCTGAACACCTTGGAGAGACAGAGGAACAGAGCCTAGGACAAGGAGGAACTGGTAGACTGTAAGAGCCATCCCCAGGCATGGGAGCATGGCCTGTCTGAGGTACTGGGAAAAGGACCCTAAGCTGAGAGGGAGGGAAACCGCTACATCTCACAGTATCCTTTCAAGTCTAAAACTGGTCAGGATAATTTTGGGATTTCTCATGAGTTCTGCATCACGCATACCATAGACTCCCTGACTCCTCCTTATACTTTACTCATTGATTTAGGGGTTTGTTTGCTTGCTTGCTTGTTTTGCTGCTGTTGTTTTGTTTTTGAGACAGGGCCTCACTAAATTCAGAGGTCAAGACGTTTCTGGAGAAATATCTCGCATTTAAAGAAAATAAAATTTCAAACTCTCCCTTCAAATTGAATGTCCAGAGCAGGAAATCTTATCGAGTCATTAAGTAGACTAAAGGTTATGTAGGCCTGAGTCTGAGCTGGAAGGAAGGGAGTCTGCTAATGATGCAGGAACTTCAGGCAGTGGCGCAAGGTCCTCATATTAGGCGCTCAGTGGTAGAGCATTTGTCTAGCTTATACGAGACCCCTGGTTTGGTCCCCAGCACAAAAAGAAAAAAAAAAGAGAAAAAGAAAAAGAGCTCTAAAATTAGATTGCTACACAGATCTATAAATGCACTAAACCCCACAGAGTTGGGTGTTTCAAGTAGGTGGAGTTTCGGCACGGAGGTAACATCTCAGTAATTTGGTTCCAAAAGATCTCCTTTGGGAAATGCTCCTGAGGAATTTTCCATGGTACCACCAAGTCGAGGTCAGGCCGGAGGCCCCCTCGCACCGCCACTGTGGTCCTCACGAATGGGAAGGCAGTGTGAACAAAGTCTTCCTCAGAGCCCAAAGACGACGCTCCATCCATCATCCATCATCCAGCTCACTCTAAGGGCTGATACGGCACGTGACCAACACTGTCAACACCACGTGCTGATGGCTAAGGGGACAGAGGACTCCTCTCTAGGTGCCATGGGGTCAAGTCCAGGGCTGGGCTAAGCCCCTGACGCATGGAGCCTAGGGCTCCTTAGTGGCTGGTGATGAGCCACAGCAGCCACAAAAGAGCTCTTGGTGAAAAGAGCTGGAGACCCAGAATTCTGGAGGGAGGTCTTCTGAAGACCCCCGCACGTCCTCGGGCTAGAGGAGAAAAGGGTCAGGAGGGCAGGGAGGAGTGATCCAATCGGCTTGGCCACAAATGCAGGAGCAGTGCCCCTTTCATTGACAACAAGCGTGTTCCCGGGCCGTGTCCCTGCCCCTGAACCCTGAACTCTCCCCAGGACACAGAGGCCAACTCCTTTTGGCGCTCACCACAGCCCCACTCTGAATGGCACGGGGGTATTTTTAGAAAGCATGGGAAAGTTCTGTGTGATCCTCACGTGGCTGCACCGAGTGCCGCTGGTGACACAGCCACAAAGGGCCCCAGGGACCCTGCTGAAGCATTTTGTGAAAGCCAGTCACTCTCAACACTGGCCTCACGGTCTCACTTGTGGGGACCCTACCCGTGTTTTGGGGTTTGCACCAGCCTCAGCAGACACCCCACACTACCATGGAGCAATAGCAAGTACAACGAACACTCGGTCCCGGGACTGGAACCGGCCTGTGTATTCTCTCACCCTACGCGTGTTGGTCGTTCACTCATACACACACTGATGCTCACACATACATGCACACTCAGACACACAGTACACTTCTAACAGTCTGTCTCAACACAAATATACTGAGGAAACAACATCATGAAAGACACCTGTTTAAAGAAGGAAAGCACAGTGGTTGAAGGGGAAGATATTCTCTTTTGCCGTCACCTACCTGAAGGCCTGGCTGTTCCCAAAACAGCGGGACGGAGCCTCTGATCTGGACAAAAGATGACACTCCATCATCCATGTAAATTGTCTGCAGCACAAGGAGACAGAAAGGAAAAGGCATTCTTCAATGAAACCCAATGTCCTGGGCTGGTAACAGGAGCTGGTGCCTGCGACCTGACACCAGCCACGAAGGGCAGGCAGCGGACTCCAGCGCCCTCTGCTCTCCCCCAGCATGCCTGGCGCTGCTCCCCAAATGGTGGCCAGGCAGCAGGGTGCACAAGGCCGCTGATTAGCCCCCAAACGGGGGGCTGGAGCAGACTCAAGGGCCCAGGCCCCGGGGTCGGGGAGGGGGTGTCTGTGGGACTGTGAGCTCCATCACCCTGGAAAGCCCCCACTAGCAAATGCGCTGGAATTTCACTAAGACCTTTCTTAGAGCCATTATTTTCACCTGCCCAATAGCTCGGGAGCAGGGAGCCTTGGGAAAGGACAGGACAAAATAAAACAAACCAGCTACGCAGAAAGCCCTAGTCCACTGTCCGTCAGTCTCACACTTGACAACTCAAGACTCAACTTGAACTTGCTTTTTGGTCCCAGTCCTGTGCCACTGCGCTCCCAGTCCACACACGTCACTAACACTTCCTCCTTGCACAGAACAATGTTACTTATGCTTTAAAAAAATAATAGTAGGGGGCTGGGAAAGTGGCTCAGTGGTAGAGCACTTGCCTTGCATGCACGAGGCCCTGAGTTCAATTCCTCAGCACCACATAAGCAAAAAGAAAAAAGCCAGAAGTGGCGCTGTGGCTCAAGTGGTAGAGTGCTAGCCTTGAGCTGAAGAGCCGAGGGACAGCGCCCAGGCCCAGAGTTCAGGCCCCACGACCGGACCCCCCAAAAAATAAAAATAATAATAATAGTAATATAACTTCTCCTCTCCAGCACCCAGAGTGGCCTGTGGGCCTCTCTGATATGGGAAGGAACACACGAGAGTTTAAAGAACAAAAAGTACGTTCTGAGCACTGGCAGGGGATGGCTGCGGCGGTTATCAGATGCCGGCCTTTATCTGCGCAACCCTACCCTGGCCTGGCAGGGCATCTCTTCGAGGCCTTTCCATTGCTCACCAGCCTGCTCCCTTACAGGGTAGCTTTCCATGCAGGCTAGATTGCACTCAGATCACACATGCATTAGTAATTCTGCAAGGAAAGGGGGACTGACAGCGAGACCTGCGTGGTCTCCAGACCACAGGAATGGTGCAAGCCTGTGTTTGGGCTGTAATTAGATGCCAAAGGAAAAAACACTGGGTTAAGAGCGTGCCTTCTGTTCACAGGTACTGACGACCAGCAGCGTTGGTACACCCACCAAGCATAGCAGCTGGTTCAACACGATGCAGCTGTGGCGGCAACGCTAGGATGCAGGACACCTTCCTGCACATTATGACCAGCACCGTAATGCACACAGGCCACATTCTCACAGGAAGACAGACGCTCACAACGCCCAGGATCTGGCCTAGGCTCAGGGGCCCTCACACGGCACTCAAACCTGGCTCCTCCTGCAACGTGGCTTGCCCAGAGCCAGCTCTGGAAAACTGGAGCACTGAGTGCCCGAACAACTCCCAGGAAGAGTTGTCCACACCTTCTCCCCAGGAAAAGCGGCTATGCCTGCGTCCCATCAGGACCAGAGAAGAGAAGCACCACAGCGCTGTCCTGGGCAAAAGAACAGCTTGAACACTTGTGGGACTGTCTTGCTTCATGGATGCCTCTGAGAGAGAGGGGGGGGAGGAGAGAGAGAGAGAAAGGGGAGCGAGAGAAGGGGGAGAGAGAGGGAGGGAAAGGGAGGGGGAGAGAGAGAGGGAGGGAGGGGGAGAGGAGAGAGGGGAAGAGAGAGAAGGAGAAGAGGAGGGGGGAGGGGGGAGGGGGGAGGGAAGCGGGAGGGAGAACCAGAGGAGAGATACTGCAATCTGAACTCGAGGCTTCACGCTTGCTAAGCAAGTGCTCTACCACTTGCATCTATACTTGCAGCCTTTTGGACTTTAGCTTTTTTTTCAGATTAAGTCTCAAGCCCTTGCTCTACCTGGCCTTGGACCATGATCCTCCTATCTCTACCTCCTGAGTAGCTGTGATTACAGGTGTGCTCCACCGTGCACAGCCTTCAGATGCCCTCTGAGGTGAGCAGGATAGTGAGTAATGCAGGTGGGAAAGGCCCTGGTCTAGCTCAGTTTTGCAAATTCTCATCTGTGTAGCAGGATGGCCCTGAGTACATCAGCCTTGGGGTCCTCTCTCAATGGAGTCAAGGCCACCTGGTGCCCAGAGGGTAAACAAGGAAGCACTCTCCCAGCCCAGAGCAGTCACTCCAAAAATTCACTCTGAGAATAGATGAGCAGGGCAGACTCGAGGACCGGTGTGGCAAGGCCGCAGGAAGGAAGAATCCAAGCAGAGACAAGATGCAGAGGAGGAGGGAGAGAAGGAAGAACAACAGCCCCAAAGGCAAGCGGGTGCCCCTGCCTGGAAGACGGGAGTCCCTGGCTAGCGGGTGCCCCTGCCTGGAAGACGGGAGTCCCTGGCTAGCGCAGCAGAAGGCCCAGCAGGGCTGCAGCCTCTGGGCCCGGCAGCCAGGGGTCGCGCGGGGTGCTTCCCCTCAGCAAAGGACTAGCTCACAACGGTGCAGACTTTCCACTAGAGAGGCCCTGACTGGGCTTCTACTTCCAGATCCAATGATTCCAGACAGCTTCTTCCACGAGGCCTCTTGGGCGTCCTCACCTCCCTGGGTGGCCCAGGGCCTGACAGGCAACAGCCAGACTTTTCTCTCCTCTTTTGTTTGATAAGCTGAGGGTTTGCTGCCTGCAGTGAGTCCTGCACAGAGGCCGCCACATGTGACTCACGGCTGACCACGATGACTTCAGACTACTTCCTCCCTGAGGAGCGTGCCAGGCTACACACACACACTCACACAACAACAACACGTACACACATAGGGCATGTGACAAATGACATATGCATGGACATACAACTCATACATGCCTACAATACAAGCACACAAGGCATATGTGACACTAAGAAAATACATACGGCACACAAGTGCACATTACAAGTCACATGATACACAACGCATGTGACACACACACACACACAAGAGATGCAAAATGCAAGTGTACACAGCATGCAACGCGCCCCCTCTCCCCCCATACCCACATAGCCCGAGGGGAAGGAGGAAGGAAGACCGTTTATTCCTGAGAAAAAGATTGAAACGGGGCAGATATGAGAGTTCTTCGGGCACCTCTTCCTGAACCCTGAGAATTAATTTGGGGGAACTGGGTTACCTCCCACAGGCCCACGCAGGGCCACTCTGGCCTGAGTCACGCTGCCGCCAGGCTGCACGGCCCCCAGCAGTCCTCCTTCCTGCCAAGGCTGTGCACCCGCCGCCACAGATGTCACCTGTCATCAGAGAAGGTGACACCCACCACCTGGAGAACAGACCCCTCTCTGCGCCCAAACCTCGGAGGGCGGACTCACCCTAAGGAGGCTACGGGATACGTATTTGAGGGTGGTACCATCATGACCCAGGACCTCAACCAGGTGGCAGGCAGGGCCCCCTGCCTACCGTGTCCTACTTCCTCCCCAGCTGCTCCGACTGGGCATCGGCGCTGGCTGAGCTGACCCCATCCACTGTCCCGTCTCCTGATGCCATCAGAAGCACCTCTGTCAGCAAGTGGCCAGAGAGCCAAGTGAGAGGCAAACAGCTGACAGACCGACCGACAGACAAACACACACACACACCTCTGAGAACAGAAGCCTCACAGCCTCATCCCTGTCCTCTCCTGACCTGCAGGCTCATGAGCAATCTCCTGAAGACACAAAGGTCTTGGGCACAGCCCTGGAGAGCAGCCCCAGCATCATGCTGGCTACGTTCTCCATGGTGGCCTGCTCCATCCGGTGAGAACACAGACCCAGGCTCCACACAGCGGTGGAGTAAGGAATGCGGCCAGCCACGCCTGCACTGTACAGGCAGGACAGCCGCAGCTGGCTCTGCACAGAAGCATCACACCTGGGCCTCTCTGCAACTTTCCCCTTCTAGCTGATCACACACAAGATGGCATTATCCTCCAGGGTGTGAATCACAGCCAAAGGCAACAACAGGTGTAAGACAGCATCTCCCGGAGAGAGAACAGAAGTTTAGAAAGACAAGCAAGAAGGGGCTGTGCAGATGGCTCTGCTCTGCAGGGGCTCAGCAAAGGCTGCTCGGCCCCTAGGTCCCAACATGAGTTAGGGTGGAGCTTAGCTTGTTTCCTCTATTCTTCCTCTGTATTGATCTCTTTTTCACCTAAAATGATTTTTCACCCCTTATTAGTTCATCTGGTAGCTGCTCCTGGAATTAGAGGCACCCTCGTCAACCACAGAAACCATTCTGGATTCCCTTTTAAAAATACCTTAGCTCAACAACATTTTCCAATCTAAGATGTCAATTAAAAAAGACAATCAGGCCAAATAGTGGAGACTCACACCGACAGAAGCACAGATAAGGAGGACTGATGTTTGAGGACAGCCCAGGAAATAAGCTTTCCAGATTCCACACCAACTGATAACGCTGGAGCAGTGGTACACACCTGTCATCTTAGCTACCAGAGAGGCACAAGCAGAAGGGACTTGGTCCCCACCAGGCGGGGCACAAATGTGAAAAATTATCTGAAAATAACTGAAAGCAGAAAGGGATGGCAGTGTGGCTCAAGCGCTAGAGCAACTGCCTAGCAAGTGTGAAGTCTTGAGTTCAAACCCTTGTGCTACCAACAGAAAAAAAGAAAAGACCATGCCAACATTCCCAAGCAGAGCTGCAACTTCTTAAATGACACACAGCAGAGGGGCCCATGATCAGGAATCAGCTCAAACACACCAGGGTCTCTCTCCACACAAGCCACGTGGCTGCTTCGTCTGGTGTCGTGGATGGGCTGGGCACTCACCTGCTCTGTCTCCACGAAGTTGGACACGTGGCCATCATCGTTCACGCCACGGGTGTAGAAGCGAGCCCCGGCACGCTCGCAGCTGATGCGAGAGATGAGGCAGACCTTGGCCTGCTTGTGCGAGGCATACACGGTGCGGATAGCCACCACCCCGCAGATGACTTTCAGCAGCCAGTCGCCACAGCTCACCTGATGCTGCCTCAGGGGCACATGTAGCAGCTGGTTCCTACAAGACACAGACCACACAGACTGCGGCCGCCGTCCCGTCTCTGGCACCCGGAGCAAGGAGAGGCACCTGTGGGAGCCAGGCTCAGACAGAGCCAGGGTGAAGCCAAGCAAGCTCACGCTGTAACCCAGTACAGCCCAACCTGGGGCCGTTCAGATCCAGGAAGCTCCTGAGCTTCATTGAGACTCCAGGAGAAGGAGCCACAAGACCTTTCCCAAAGCTATCAACGTGGGGCAACAGGAGCAAAGCTGGGGTTCGAGCTAACCAGTCCCTGTGTTTTGTTTGTTTTTTATGTGTCATGGGGCCTGAACTCTGGGCCTGGGCGCTGTCCCTCAGCTCTTCAGCTCAAGGCAAGCGCTCTACCACTTGAGCCACAGCGCCACTTTGGGCTTTTTCTGCTTATTTGGTGCTGAAGAATCGAACCCAGGACCTTATGCATGCAAGGCAAGCACTCTACCACTATCATGTCCCTCACTGTGGCTTGAAGGACACATGCTGCTCCCCACCAAATGGAAGCCATGATTGGCAGAAAGGGCAACACCTGGCACCTGCTACTCAGCGTGTGGTCTGCATCTTAACAAGATCATAGGATTCCGCATGCCAAAGTCTGAGCAATTACTAAACAAAAACAACCATGGGTGAAGGCTCGAGACCATGTGGGACATATATACAATGGAATTTTACTCATTAGAAAGAAGTAATGTTAACTGGCTCATTAGTTGTTTAAAGTGAGGCGCGGAGGGGCAGGACATACGTCCACAGCCCCGCCTCAGGGCTGGAATTGCGGTGTGGCTCCACAGGGCATTCTGGGACTCCAGTCAGGGTGATGCACTGGCTGGTGGGTACACCCCCTGCAGTGTACCAGCACGGCCTCTGCTGTCCTCTTTCCCACCCCTGGGGGAACTGGACAGCATAAATGGCCAGCAGGCCTGGCACCAGCCTACACAAGCACAGCCCCTCTCAGCAATTCCACTGGTCCTTCCAGAGCCAGGCCTAGAAAGACCCATAGACATCCAAGAACTGACAGGGCTGTCCACCTGCAGCTGTCCGCATGCGGATTGAAGGCCAGATGACCCAGTGCATCCAGAAACCCAACCAGCTTGATACAGGACACCTCCCACCAGCTGCTCAGTTTCCCTTTAGGTAGGACCAGTTTAACTTTGTGATTCCCAGCTTAGGGCATAGAGCCAGAATGCATGGGTTTAAATTTTGCCTCTGCCTCTTATCAGGTGTGTGGAGTTGGCAAAATCCCCTCACTATTTATTCCTCAGTTTCCCTATCTAGAATGAAGTAGCACAGATGACCCCTTAGAGAGGCATGAGGATTCTAGTTTCCATATTCTGCAGAGAGTTTAGGATGGTGCTAGAATGGTGCTATAAAATGTCACAGGTAAATATTGGGACATGGCAGAGCAGAGAGATGCCCTGTATGGCAAATCCAGGAAGAAGCGCTGTGCCCAGCACACAGAAAACACCTGCAGATGAAGCTGAACTGCTTCTTGCTGTGGCGAGTTTCTCTGCTAAATCCACTTGGGACCCAGTGAAGGCATTCCCAAGACCACAGTGAGTGGAGGTTTCGAGCTTCACTTTCTCATGGGCGGGGAGCACAGAGCCCACCCCTTGTGGGACCCAGACCCTCACCAGAAGAAGGAGGTCCCCCAATCGGAGCTGTCATCACCCTGCTTCTGCGCCCGGACGGTCAGGTCAAAGCAGGAGCTGTCGTTGGGCCAGGAGAAATAAAACACGCCCGAGCTGAGGATTTTCCTCAAGGCGAGGAGGCGGTCCTCCTCCCGGGCTTCTTCCTGCAGAGGGTGGAACTCGATGGCCGTGATCTTGTAGATTTCTGCATCTGGGATTCTGCCCACGGACGCGCAGCCCGTCACCAGCACCAGGAAGCTCAGGGAGGTGCCACCTGCACGGGAGGTCACACACTGAGCTGAAGGCCCTGCGCTCAGGGGTCACTTGCCACAACCCCAACCTTAACCAGATGTCTAACCTGGGGCCTGCCACCTACGCTGGGCGAGGTGCACAGCCAGGGGCAGGAGCTCATTAGATATGGGGTTTCTCACCCAACCCAGTGGGTGGTGGGCACAACTGGGATGCTGAGACCCCTGAACCCACCCCAAGTGGACACCCAGGGCCCTGTGATCCCCGCTCCTCACTATTGGCCAGCCCTGCCTCAGCCCAAGCCAGGGTCCCACACGGCAGCCACAGGCATGGGATCCCCATTCTCCTCTGATCTCTGTGGCCACATGGGCCTGGCACCGGAAGGGAAACTCCATCTGGGACTCTCCCACTCTGTCCCGCCCCCAAACATATGATGGACATTTCGAGGCTGTGCCACTCCTCAAACCACTTGTTCCTGTGACTGTGGCTTTGACGAGATCCCCTCCCCCACCCGACCAAAGCCGACTGTCCCTTGTCATCTGCCCAACAGAGCCTCACCAGAGGCCCCTTTCCCTCCCCCACCCCAGTTCTGTCCTCATGGGCCCCAAGACAAAGTTCCCAGCCTCCTGCCTTCTAGAACAGCCTCCGCTCTCCCGTCACTGTGCAAACTCCTCCCCCCGACCCACCACAACACCTCCTCCGAGAAGCCTTCCCCGGTCTCCTGAGACACAGTTGAGGGTCTCTCTGTGTGACTAGAGCCCCCTGCCAGCCCACATCGCCTGCAGTCACAGCCTGGGCCTCCTCCCCGGCACACGGGGATGCCTGGGGCGGGCCTCTGCCCGGAGCACAGGTCCCCTCCAGTGTATGGGAAGCATTTCCTATGTGAATTCCTGGAGGGTCAGCCGCACCAGCAGGCTCCCGAGGGACAGTGACACGGCGCCTGCAGGACCACTTCCGCCACACAATGCTGTGGCAATGCTGTGCCCGTGGGCAGCAAGACAGCAGCTCCTTGGACCCACACAAAGGGGCAGTGCCAGCAAGAATGGCTCCAGGTGGTCAGCCTGTGATTCCATCCCCAAACCACTGCAGGACAACCTGAGATGAAGCGTGGTGCTCAGGCAGCACTGGGTCAGGGCTGAGCTTCCCAGCTGGGCAGGTGAGGCCAACACCTCGCCATCCTCAGCCTCAGGTGGGCAGACGGTCCTGCGATCTTGGCTGGTCCGACTTCCCTGGCGCGCGCCTGCCTCAAGCTCAATGCTGGGAAAAGTGGCGTTCAGGGCAGCCCTGACTGGGCCAGGCTGGGAGGTTCAGGAGGGGCCTGGAAGTGTTGCCTTCTGTCCTTCCATAGGAGCCGGAACACGGATTTCTAGTCCCACTCCCTCACCAGCTTCTGCGTGGGGCCAAGTCCCTGGCAGGAATCCCAGGCTGCTTAAGAAGGCAGAGGCCGGCTGCCTGGGAGAGGCCGGGGAGGGCGCGTGGCAGGTGAAGAAAGGGAAGGGGAGGGGTGAGAGATCACCCCCTGGTGGGCACACCTGGGACAGCCTTCACCTACATGGACTTCATCTTCTAACAACCCCACGGGGATGGATGGATGGCCCAGTTTACAAAGGGGGCAGCAGCCACAGGGAGGTTAGGTAGCCTGCCCACATGATGGGGTGGGGGTGCCCTAGGTCTGAACCTGTTCTGGGGCTACCATACCACCAGGCTGTGGCCCAAGCCGAGTCTGGCTCCGGCACTGTCACCAGCTCTCAGAGGACAGTACCACCCTATCTTCTAGAACCACCATCACCAGGACACACACAAGTGGGGTCCCCAGGGAAGCTGAGTCACTGGGCTGGGCTGAAACAGAGCTGTGAACCTGGGGCTTCGCTGAAAGGCCACACTCCACCTGGCCTTGAAGTCAGCAGTGTTCAGTTACCACTCATTGTCCTCTCTAGAGGGCTGTGGCCAGCCAGTGCCCCGGCCGTAAACTGAATGCGTCACATTCACATGCTGGCGTCTCCGCCCATGAGGAGGCCCGTGGAGGTGAGGCAGCCTACTGCCCCAGACAAAAAGGGAGACAGCGTGGTGGGGGAACAGCTCCGGTGCCATAAAGTTACATCAGCTGTTATACGTCCCTGAATCCACATCCCTGCCAGAGGCAAAAATCAATCATGTCTGCATGTTCCAAAAGGTGCCAGCTCTGACTGTAAGGCCTGCCTGTAAGCTGTTCCCTTGGGCCTGGAAGCTACCCTGCAAAAAGAAGATTTGGGACTGGAGGACAGAGCAGAAGCTTCCAGACTTCTGTTTCAGTATGTGCCAAGCTGGGGAGCAGCCATGCCGAGCTCCTCCTCCTCTGAGTTAGTAAATTAAGGCCTTACTCCACACATAGAGCAGAGCAGAGCAGAGCGTGACTCAGTGTGAGCCAGCACCTCACGTGCCCAGCGCCCTGGGGATCTGGAGGTCAGGAAGACCCTGCAGGGGATAAGCCTGCTCCAACCTCAGATGTCACTGACCTCAAAGAAGCCAGTGTTGGAGGGCAGCTGGAGGTGTTAGTGAGTTCCAGCCCAGTTTCTTCCCTGAGACCAATCTTCACCTGAACCCTCTGGGCCTGTTGTTCTTACTGAAAAGGGGCACAGAAATGTGTTACCACATTAGCTTATTCTCAGGAGGAAAGAAGTGAACCCTTGGCACAAAATGATGTTTAATAAATGCCATCAGAATGGGGCGCTGGTGGCTTGCAGCTGTAGTCCTAGCTGCTAAGGAGGCTGAGATCTGAGGATCACAGTTGAAAGCCAGCCAGGGCAAGAAAGTATGAGACTCTTTATTTCCAAAGAACTAGCAAAAACAAAAAAAGAAAAGAGCCAGAAATGGAGGTATGGCTGCAGAGCACCAGACGTGGTAAAAAGTGAGAGATAGATAGATAGATAGATAGATAGATACATACATACATACATACATACATACATACATACATAGAGTGCATCCTGTCATGATATGCCAGGTTTTTTTTCCTAAACATGTCCTAATTGGAAATGATTATAATCATCATAGCTCAGCAAATAACAGAAAGACCCAGAAAAGCAGTGGCCAGCACATGGGCACTGTTTTGTTTTTTGACACGCACAGGAGTTTCACATTCAGGGTTCAGGAAAAGGCCCAAGAGCTGAGTCTGGACACCCCACAGCCATTCCCCACAGGAACGTGACCCACGCTTGTCTACTCCACAGCCCTGTCACCATGCAGGACCAAGTTCAAGCAGGTGCGCCTGGGTGAGGAGGAAGGGCAGGGTGGCTGCAGAACAGAGAGCCCTGGGGAGAGGCTGGGGGCTACGAACGCGGCTGCCGCAGAGGTGGCTAGCCGTACCTGGCTCGGCCTGGGAGGCGCAGGGAAGCCCACCTCTTCCGGTGAGTTCTCTCCCTCCCATCAGACCGCTTGTTCAGACACAGTTTCCTTTCTTGTCCCTCACACCCACGCAGCATTGGTGGCTCTTCTCCCCTGGCTAGCAAGCCCCAGCCCGCCCCTCCTCCTTCCCGGCCTGTCCAGGAGTCCCGTGTGATGCCCCAGGCTCCGGTCCACACGCTGCACCCCTTAGAATGAGCACAGATCCCTGGCAAACAGCAAACAACCCTTCCCCCACAGCAGACTCTGGGAAAACAGGTGTGGAGGGCAAACAGCGTAGGTGCACGCTTCTGGGTCCACATCTGCCTCCTCTCAGATCAGTGAAAGCCCCATGCCTCCCTGGCGGAAGAGCAGGTGAGAGACAGAAAAAGATATCACCTCAGCCCCACCCCCAAACCGACCATGAGACACGGGGGGGGGGGGCGCCACGGAGGTGATGACTACTCACCCGAGTCTAACCTGAGCTCCCCCAGGCAGCCGTAAGCATCGGTGAGCTTGCCATACTGCCCTCTGATGACTTCCTTCTCTTCCGGAGCTGGGGGAGAAGCAGAGAGAGCGCTCGAGAGGCATCAGTGAGCCCCCACCCTTTCATTCACAGGCGCTTGCCAATCTGGCTCCCACCCACTCGAAAAAGGAAACACACAGACAATAGCTCAGCCCACAAACCCCATGAGTGGAGGCTTCACTGGATGGCAGTGCAGAGCTGCAAGAATTCAGAGCTTCCGGTCAAGGCTTGTTCGTAGGAAGTGCCCATGGCTCCCAGAGGGCTAGGAAAGGGGAGCCCCAGGGCCCAGGCTCCAGCTTCTGGCCAGGAACAGGCTCCTTGGCCTGGCCTGGCTCCTCACATCCCACTGCAGATGCACAGAAACAGGGTGAGCACTGTAAGCCCTGCGCGAGGTCTTCCTGTTAGCACCCCGAGCTTCATCCTGGAAGTCCAGGGATCTGCATCCACCAGGTGGGGGCTCTGCAGGAGGCGGTGACCCAGGCAGGGGGCCAGTGAGTCCTAAGCTGCAGACTGCCCACTGGAGGGACACACCCACATTAAGGCACAGTATGGAGGAGAAGCTTTCAAAACAGACAAGCTAAGTGGATGTGGAAATCAGGAGGAGTGACCCAGGTTTAGCCTGGAGCTGACTTGGCCCACGATCCTCCTGGACGCGGAACATCACAGCAGCCTGCACTCAGGTCTTACTATTCTCTGCACAAGGTCCCTAGTGACTACCACAAGTCCCCAGTCACCGCCTTCACACTCAGATGGCTGGATAACCGCTCTGTTCACCTGCTTCCGTTTTAAAGCACACCTTGCTGATGCACTCTCGCCGCACCCATGGCCAACAGTATGGTAACTCACAGCTGAATAAAGTATGCAAACACAAGGTTGTTTGGTTGTTGTTTTTCCCGTTAGGCTCACCCAGCCTTCTTTGCACTTGGCCATATAGGACCACACTAAACAGGAAAACCAACAACCACTACCCCCAAACAGGAAAAAGGGGCACTGGATAAACCCTTGCACGTGGTATAAAGGAAGGCAGCGGCGTCTGGCATACCTCAGCTGGGAACATGTGCGCTGGGGAGACGTAAACTTCCACCGCTCTGCCCATGCCCGCAGATGACACAGCAGTTAAGTTTGTCATGCATGCTGATCATGGGGCGAGAACACATTTTAGAGTAATTATTAAGTACAGAATGTACAAATCAGCGGGCACTGGTGGCTCACGCCTGTAATCCTAGCTACTCAGGAGGCTGAGATCTGAGGATTGCGGTTCAAAGCTAGCCCAGGCAGGAGAGACCGTGAGACTCCTATCTCCAATAAACCACTAGAAAACCGGAAGTGGTGCTGTAGCTCAAGTGGTAGAGCGCTCGCCTTGAGCTGAAGAGCTGGGGGACAGCGCCCAGGCCCAGAGTTCAAGCCCCATGACCGACAAAAAAAAAACAAAAAAACAGAATGTACAAATCATGAAGAAGATCCACTGAGGCGGAGTCGAGAGTGTGGCAAAGTCTACCAGGAGTCCTGTGAGTAAAGTAGCCACTGGGTGGGGTGGGAGGGGGCACTTTTGAGATCCTATCTAAACATAACTGGAGTAAAAGGGCTGGAGATGTGACTCAAGTGGTAGAGCACCTGCCTTGCAAGTGTAAAGTCCTAAATTCAAAGCCTAATACCACCAAAAAAGGTTAATAACTAGATCAATAAATTAAATTTCCCACAAAATTTAACTGGATAAAAAACAGAAACAGAAACAGGAGAGGTCAGAGTAGCCTAGAGATGATGAAGGAAATCATAGGAAATTCTGAGCATCCATAATCCCGGGATCCTGACAGCTAAGCATACTTACTGGAGGGACTTGTCACTTCAAACAAAGCCCTATGGAGCTAGGGTCTCAGCACGGCTCAGACAAGGCCTGGGAGTCCCAGGCTGGCCTTTGCTGTCGACCTGCCCCTCCTGGTGGAAAGGGTGGTAGTTACCACAGCACATAGCTTAAAATGATACAGCTGGAGACTTTCAACAACACAAACGTGTTCTTCTAGTGCTTCAGTCACAAGTCTGCAATGAGAGCGTCGTGCTAGCTAAGCTGAAGGTGTGAGTGCCACCGCACTCCCCCTGGAGGCTGCAAGGCAGAATGCATTTCCCTGTCATTTCCAGCAGCTGTGGCTGCTTGCCCTCCCCCGACTTGGAGTCCCTACCTTCCCCTCCCGCCCTGCCCTGCATCAATCTTCACATTTCTCTCCCTCTCCCATCTCCCTCTTGCATTTTTAGGGGCCCTGTGAGTGCACTGGCCCCAGTCAGACAGGCCACGATGCCACCTAATTCTTCTTCCAGCATCTGCCTGCAGCCTCAGGCACAGCAGGAGGTGCATCGCATCTCCCACACAGAGGAGGCCTCCAGTATCTGCTCCCGAGGCACTGGGGAGCTACTGTGGAGGGCTGGGTCCCGTGCCTGGAGAGGAGCGGTCTTCAGGGGAGGGGGCTGAAGAAATGCCAACCATGAAGGAGCAACGGCCCTTCTTGCCAGCTGCACATTGCCCAAGAAAGGGGGGGGGGGAGAAGTTCTTATAAAAGAGCTGATGAATACAATAAAATAATGTTGACACCAGCGACCTCTAATTCAGCCCTAGAGGCTTCGCAGCACCTTCACCCAGACCCTAAGTGTTACTGGTGTCTCTGTTTACCTTAAAACAAAGATGTCTCTGTGCATTCTCTGTGCCAATAGCTGAGCAAATAAAACCAAACCAGGAAACTGCTAAACAAAGTGACAGGGTCCAGACCTCACTTCAGGGGTGGGAATGTGGCTGTGGGAAAAGCCAAACTCACCCCTGACCCAATGAGCTCAGACAGGATTAGACATGTCCCCTGCCACCAGATAAATTAAATAAACCCAAGTGGAAAACGCTTTCCCACCTCCAAACTTAAAAAAAAACATAAAACTCCCAGGGCCACCTGGCCATATCCTATTCCTGTAAATGATTGGCCCCGGTGAAAACATCCTTATCAGTATACTGTGGGATAACCCCAAGACTTCAGGGTAGAGGTGCAGCCAGGGCACTTGCCTGGCCCTGCAAGGGTCACCCTTCCTGAGGAAGGTGTTGCTGCCCGCAATCTCCTCCTCAGTCCCCTGCCCTCACATGACAGCAGTCACCCTGAAGCTAGATAAACGAGGAAAATGAGGTATGGTCAGCTAACAGCAAAGACAGGAGACATTTCTTCATTCGCTTCCCTTAAGATTAAGGGGCCAAAGTCATTTAGGTTAAAATAAAATAGGATAAGGCAGGTGCCGGTGGCTCACGTCTGTCATCCTAGCTACTCAGGAGGCTGAGATCTGAGGATCACTGTTCAAAGCCAGCCCAGGCAGGAAAGTCCATGAGACTCATCTCCAATTAACCACTCAGAAAACCGGAAGTGGTGCTGTAGCTCAAGCGGTAGAGTGCTCACCTTGAGCTGAAGAGCTAAGGGACAGTGCCCAGCCGAGTTCAAGCCCCACAACCAACAGAAAAAAAAAAAAGGAAAAGGAAAAGAAAGAAACAGGATAACCTGAGGAAAATGAGGCCTGGTGAAGGCAATCCAGAAATGCAGTATTTAGAAACACAGAAGTGCCAGCTTTACTTCAAAGATAGACCACAGGATACTCCCTTCCTGAGGATGCTTCCTCACCCCAAGAATGAACACCTGTCTCACAGGATGTATGCCTTCCTGAGAAAAAATGCTTCCCCAAAATACAGATAGCAGGGCGCCTCCTTATCTCAAGGATCAGGATCTGTTTTATGGCGGGATGCACTCTCACCTGGAAACTCAGAAGGTAACAGCAGGTGTGATTAGAGCAAAGACAAAGCACTTATCTTTACATAACTTTGAAACCAGACCCCTTCCTTTACCATATAAACACCCCAACAGCCAAGGACCTATGTGTCTCTCTATCTCCCTATGAGAGCACCCACACTCTTGTTAGAGTATGTCCCTGCCCTTCTGTGTGTTTGTCTGCTTTTTGTCTGTTTGTCTGCTTGTCTGCTTGTTTACTTAATAAAGCTGTGCCGAGTCTTCTTACTATTGTGACTTGTCCAGAAATTCTTATTCAAGGACCCTAAGCAAAGAATCCCTATCTTTGGAAGAAAACTTCACTAAACCTCACCTCTGTCTGGTGACAACCCAATTTAGAACCCACACTGTGCCGCCACAGCGACAACCACCCTAATTCCAAATCAGGTTCTATTGGGTCTTGCTATGGATCTCAGGCTGGCCTTGAACCCACTGCACTGCTCAGACTGACTTGGAATCCATGATGCTCCTGCCTCAGCCTCCTGAGAAACGGGACCACAGCCATGTACCACCATACCGGGATGAGTGGTCATCACCACACCTGGACTGTATCTTAAAGACCTCCCAAAAGCTCGTGCATTGGGGGCATGGTCCCCCAACATCAATGCTGTTGGCAGGTGGTAGAAATGTCAGGAAGTGGGGCTTAGTTGGAGGAAGCAGGTCATTGTGGGGCTGTCCATGGGGGCAGAGCAGAACCCCAGGCCCTTCCGCTTCTCTGTGCTCCCTGGCTGCCATGAGTGAGCCGCCTCCCCCACCACACACTCCAGCCACAGGCGCCAGCTGGCTGCAGGCCGAAATCCAACAGGGCCAAGTGATGTGGACCAAGAGCTTTGAAACCATGAGCCAGAACGAACCCTTGCTCCTTTAAGTCAATTTCTCTCAGGCAGGCACAAAACTAACATAGGTCCCATTCTAAGCTTCTCGGGCAAAAACAGCATACCTTTCTGCAGGAACTAATGCAGCCCCTGCATTAAGGCTTGGATTCCTTGCAGACGCCTCCCCAGACAGCTTCTTTTCTTTCCTCAATGCCTCACCTCCACATCTCCTGGAGTCCCCATGCACCCCATCTCCAGGCTGCGGTGCCTAGCCCTCACACTGCCCCTCTCCTACCCCCAATGCCAGGTCGATCACCTCACACCCAGCTTGCCCCTATCAGCTGCAGTCTCACAAGTAGGTCTGAAGGAAGGGGAAAGCCTTTTGCTCTCCAAACTGAAGGTCACAGGCCATGCACCTGCACGCATGAGACGGTAAGGAACACTCAAGCAAAGCCTCCAGGGGAAGGGGTCTGGATGACAGGGCACCCACACGCCCCCCGGCAGTCAGCCATCTGCCACCAGGTGGGCATGCCTGGCAGGGCACCCTTGAGGTTTCAATGACCTCTCTTGATTTCGGTGACCTCCTGAGGTTTCAGTGTTGGCGGTCAATCTCCCCCCTTACTGTCAAGCACCATGGATTGGATGGACTTCTGCGGGCCTCAGACTTCTGCCAGACAAGAGCCTCTACTGGCTGTAGAACTCTGCGGGTCCAGGTCTCTCCTGGCAGCACACATTACAGATGGTACGCTTCTGCCTCTCCTTAACGTCTCCATTAACAGGCTTTCCCATCGTCCCCTCAATCCCATAGCTTTTGTTGCATGGACAAGGGATGGGCTTGTTTCCTTCTCGCTGGCTGAGAATGTCTGGCCTGATTTTCAGGAGAGAGGGGGGAAGCTCTTTTATTTTCTCAGCCCTCTTCCTGCTCTGGGGTTCAGCCAGCCCTCACCAAACACATGTCTCAGTGCTGACTATGGTTGAACATTTTAAGCACTGGGTTCCCCACAACCCACCCACCTCCCACCCTCCAGAACCATCCATCAACTGCACCAGAGGGAGCCGAGCCCAGGTAATACAACTCTATGTTTGCCTCTGGAAGGTTCTGGAAAAGATGTTATCACTTGAGTGGAGCAGAAACAAGTCAGTCTCTGCTGCTGGCAGGTGGGTCTGCCCTGGGTTTTTAGCTGTTCTCTTTGCACAAGATCCTCACTGCTGAATCCCGAATCCCATCTTTCCTGGAGCCCAAGATGATTGCAAAGCGAGGCCTTGACTGCTCAGATCCAAAGGTACAGACGTCAAGGGAGGGGCTGCGGGCTCAGCCTTCATCCTGCTTCTAGTTCACTCCGGCTGCATAAAGGCATTTTTTCATCTGCCTCTTACACCTGTACGATCTAGGCAAGTGAGCACCAGGGTGGTAGCATGGAAATGCTGACAAGCAGGTAAATGCAGAGGCAGACTGCAAGCAGACAATGGCTGTCTAT